TCAGAGAAATAGGCCTGTATGAACTGCATAGACTTTTATCTTTCTGCGGTTTTTGGAAGAGGAATGACCATTGCCGTTTTCCAACTTTCCGGAATTGTACCATTATACCATGATTTGTTGAATAATTCTAGTAGAACTGTAGACTCTTCCATTGGTAACTCCTTTAACGTGCTGTACTTGATATTATCTTCACCAGTAGCGCTGTCTTTCTTACTGTACAGTGCTTTCTTCAGCTCGTCGAGGGTGAAGGGAGCGTTAAGATCCCGTTCATCCTCTAAGGGCGAATGATGAATTGGAGTGTGGTTGGTGTAGAAGGTCTTCTTGTTCTTTAGAAATTCTTTGGTATGGTTGGTATTAGCACTGCCGTCAGCATAACATTTGGCTAACAAATTGGCTTTTCCTTCATTGCTGTATTCTGTGGAATCCCTGTAACAAAGAGTTGGAATGGAAGAATTAGATTTTTTACCAAGCATTGAGTCTATTTTACCCCAGACAGATCTTAGGTAGGCAGAACTCCTGCCAGTGCTTTGTTTGTGATTCACGCAACAGAGCAGCTGTAGAGGCCTTGACCGCTAAGTATTCTGCCTTGGTATAACGGTCCGATTTCCTCTGAAACCGTCGAAGAGCCCGCTTGCGAGCATCCACGGCAGCCTGGAGTTCATCGGACCACCAAGACTTGGGTGACCTACGTGCAATGCCATCCTTAGTCCGGGGAATAGAGTCCATAGCAGCGTCAGTAATAACCTGAGTCAACTTCCCAGAAAAACTAGAGACGTCCTCGTCCCTTGCCAGATCTAGCTTGGAACGAGTGAAATGACGCCTAAAGAAATCCCAGTTAGCCTTCCCTAGTCTTCATTTGCCTTGACACATGACTTCCTCCTTCACAACATTGCGTGACAGCGTGATTTCAATGACAACATGGTCACTTCCAAGGGTCTCACTGGTTGCTTCCCACGTACAGTCTTTAGCTAACCGACTGCTTACTAATGTGAGATCGAGATGCGAACCAAGAGGAGCAATTGCACCAACATAAGTAATGCTACCATTATTTATGCTAACCAGGTCATTGGCCTCAATGAACTTGTCTACCATTAGTGTCAGTTGTTGGCGAACCCCACAATACGTGTTTGGTGTTGAAATCACCAAGCACAATATTGTCGGTCCCGGGCAACTGATCGTAAACATACTGATATTCACTGAATCGTTGAGGTTTGCCTTTGACTTCGGGTCGATAAATATTAACGATAGAAAAAAACCTTTGACTTTTCGGTAAAGGATACCGCCTTGCCTCCAGAGGAGCGATGGTTTTCAGAGGAACCTCACTATGGGATATACCATTTTTGATGTAGATGGCCAGACCCCCACCACTTCGATGGTTGAGAGCATTAGGTCTGTTTAATCTGATCAGAGTATAACCATTGATGATAGGGTCTTTATTCCGTGAACCGAGCTTGGACTCTTGGAGAAAAACGGCATCATACTGCTTCCTTTGTAGTAGCTGTACCAGTTGGGTCTTTCGTTCAGGTACGTTCAGACCATTGATGTTCAGCTGTATAAACCTGAAATTGAATGTAAAATAATTAATGACTTAATGGATCAGTATGGTTTTAGCATGGGGTTTGGGGTGCCGTAAAAACCTCTACGTCCATTTCCGTTACTGAGCCAGTGGGCAGTGGTCTAGCTAGCGTGGTGCTTCTACAGCGCACATTCACGGGTCTGGAGCCTGTACTTCTGCAGATGCTCCTTGACTGACGAGGTTGGTCACTCGTGGATACCGCCTTTACTTTTCTTGGCGTTTCCACCGATTGACCCACTACGTCGGTCTTCGGAACAAAGATATCTTCTTCTTTGGTTTGGTATCCTTGTTTGGTGGTTGTTGGTTTGTGACGTGGTCGGCACATACTTTGGCTACCTCGCCATGACGTCTTTCGGATTGATTTCACCAGCCTTGGTTCTGGAACTGATTGCTACTGCAACCAACCTGCAACAGAAATCAAAAAATTACATTCTTGGACTTACACAGCTTGGTGCTGTGCCCCTCTCAACACTTTTCGCAGCAAACTTTGCTGCGACAGAACTTCTCCAAATGACCCAACTTCTGCCATTTCTGGCATCTTCGTACCTTGGGGATGTAAGGGTGGAGCTGGTACCTGGAATATAGAAGGGGAAGAGGACCATTAGGTACTTTCCCGCTTGCGAAGGTTAGTTGGACAGTCCTAACGGACTTGCCCTCTCGAGGTTTGTAGAGGTATAAACCCTCTACAGCGTGATTGTGGAGTTTAAGATCCTCCAGCAATTCACCCTCAGAGTACTCGGAGGGGACGCCATAAATGACGACCCGTTCCGTCTTGTTGAAGGTGGACATGGCCGAGTCCACCTTCATCCCACACAGTGCTGTTTGATTTGCAGCCTAAACCGCATCTGCCAGGAACTCAAAATTCAGCCTTACGTTGCCGTTAGCCAGGACTTTGACCTCCGGAAGAGAGCTATACTTCCACTCTTTCCGGACGAAGTCGCCGATAACCTTCGAATTCGTGCTGCCGAAAGTTTTGCCCCCGCTTGGCTTCACTATCACGATATTGGAGTATTCCGGCCTTGCTACCCTGGGTTGCATGGTAGCAGCTGGCCGACTCGCAATATCGGCATAGCTAACCTTGGTGGATTGTTGGAAAGAGGCCATTTCAACTGAAATAGAAGGTTTGATTAGTATAAAATACAAAATACAATACAATAAGACAGATAAGAGATAACTATCAAGAATGCCTTGCAGATTGTGCAAAAATTGATAGAATGAAAATGAAAAGAGAACAACGAAACAAAACGAAACCTAGTGAAAGCTTTGTGAGGACAGCTTGAATTTCTTCTGCCAAAGAAATTGTCGGCCGCCCAAAGAAAAGATAAAAGAAAAGAATAAAAAGCAACGAACTCACAGTAATTAATGGCGGGTTTAAAAAGTTGATCGAGTAATACTTAATTGATACTTGACAGTAATCCGTTAATCCAATTTCACCAATCCAGACTAGAGAGAGAGCTAATTAGTTGTTCACAGTACGAGTGTCGAACTAATTATGTGATTACACAATGCGACGATAATTGCACTTATAACCCTTCCAACCGCATCAAAACTATTTGTTGCTATTATAGGCAGATGGATATACACTTATCAATAAAACTTGTCCTATTATCGTCAATGAGAACTTGAAAATGGCACTCTTTTCCAAATGACGCTATTAAAGCACGCGTTTTCACTTCGGCTGTACCACATTGACATTGAGAAATGACTAGGAGTTTACCTCTAGCAGACGATTTTTCTTTCTAACATTCATACGTATTCACCTATTAAACAGGAGACCGAGATATTATCCTGTCCTATCTACTACCTATCGCCACATCTTACGGGCACGTTCTATGGTCACATCCATTAAAGTGTAAGTGATGTTTCAAAATCAAATCCCCCCTCCCTTCTCTTTTGATTTTCGCATAGTTGTTTTTCTTTTGGTTGTTTGATGTCGGCGACTTTTACAGATATAACTACTTTGCCTTGTTCTATTTCTATTTAGTTCAGTGCGCATGCGCAATTTACCATTTTCTATCACATGGGTTTGTTTATACGTCACAATTACGATGATAAAGAGTGTAACTGGGTCATACCAGGGGGCTTTGATGTATGGTAAGTCTAGGGTACTTAATGGACTTACGGACTTTTCTCCACTTGTATTACTCACGTAATACATATACTAAAATTGGAACGATACAGAGAAGATTAGCATGGCCCCTGCGCAAGGATGACACGCAAATTCGCGAAGCGTTCCATATTTTTCGAATCTTGATACGAGATCCTTTTTACAAACCCTTATCCTAACGCCCGGTATATGATGCTATTTCTTTTTTAATTTCGATGTTTCTTTGGGAGCAGCTTCAAGGCAGTTCTCTGAATGACAGCACGGTTATACATAGGCCTAATTTAGGTAAACAATAATACAACGTCATAACAATCGCCGCTTAAAACAATTCAATGCATTTTTCTTGCTTTTGATGCCAGTATTTTAGGTTGAAGTGCCGAAGAGGTAGTGTATAATCCGAAGATCGAAGATCGCAGACCTGTATAATCCGAAGATCGCAGACCCCAACTATAATCCGCAGACCCCCTATACTATATTCGGCAGACCCAACTATAATCCGCAGACCCCCTATACTATATTCGGCAGACCCAACTATAATCCGCAGACCCCCTATACTATATTCGGCAGACCCAACTATAATCCGCAGACCCCCTATACTATATTCGGCAGACCCAACTATATTCGGCAGACCCCCTATACTATATTCGGCAGACCCAACTATATTCGGCAGACCCCCTATACTATATTCGGCAGACCCAACTATAATCCGCAGACCCCCTATACTATATTCGGCAGACCACATATAGGGGGCCTACTTTTTTTTATTTTTTGAAGCCATTTTTTGAAGCAATGTTTGGATATGCGTCGATATTTAGACTTAGGGATGAAATCATCTAGACATCCAGAGGTATGTACAAAACATTGTAATCTCCACCTATTACGTTTTACTGCAAAGTATTCAAAA